GGAGGCTGAGGCAGGAGGATCGCTTGAGCCCAGGAGTTTGAGGTTGCTGTGAGCTAGGCTGACGCCACGGCACTCTAGCCAGGGCAACAGAGCCAGACTCTGTCTCAAAAACAAAACAAAAAAAAGAGCTATCATGCTATGTAAAAACATGGAGGAAGCTTAAATGCATATAACTACACCAAGCAAACCAACCTCAAAAGGCTGCATACTGTATGATTCCACCTATATAACATTCTGGAAAAGGCAAAACTATGAAGACAGTAAAAAGATCAGTGGTTGTCAGGCGTTAAGGAGAAGAAGGAATGAATAAGTAGAGTAAGCAGAGTACAGAGGATTTTTAGGGCAGTGAAGCTGTTCTGCACAATGCCTCATGGATACATGGATACATGTCATTACACGTTTGTTAAAACCCATAGAACATACAACACCAAGAGTGAACTCTAATGTACAGTATAAACTTTAGGTGATAATGATACATCAATGTATTTCGATTATAACAAATGTACCACTCTTGTGTGACATGTTGGTGGGGGAAGTTATGTGTATGTGGGGTAAGGGGTATATGGGAAATCTCTGTACCTTCTGCTCAATTTTTCTATAAACCTAAAACTAAAAAATAGAATCCATTAAAAAATAGAATTAAACATTTGCAAAACCTGAAGTGCCTCTAAGAAATCTTACAGTCACCTGAAAACATAGTTTGGAACCCACCAAGTGAGACTGTCTTTCATTTCATAGCTAACAATAGTATCATTGAAAACCACAATACAATTAAAATAAATTGAGGAATTTTACTAAATCTTTGTAAACATTATCTTCTTTGTTCCTCCTTGCAACCTTTTGAGCCTAGTATAAATTCATTTTATGTATAAGGAGGCTTTTAAATTCATTTTACATGTAAGGAAACAGATGTACAGACGATCAGTGGATTACTAGAGGTCACAGAACTAGTAAGAGAAGAGACAGTGTCAATTCAAGGCTCTGGCATAACCACCTGGCTCCTTTATTATGCGGGTTTGGGCAGGGCCTGGGAAAAAAAGAGGACTAAGTAAAAAGAGTACGTCTGTGTCTTTAGAAGACTTTGAATTGTGAGCTTCCCAGAAGGCTGCCGGTTCCCCTCTGGATGGAAGACAGAAGCCCTTTCAATCTGGGGATGTCCAGAAAGGTCCTCTCTGCCTCGTGGGTGAACTAAGGTGAAGGATGCTGACGAGGCCATTGAAAGGGCATTCTCGAACTTCCTGTTCTCCATTCATGTGTGCACAGGTGTTCTCGGAGCGGCTATTATGTGAAGATACTATTTGGGGCACACAGGCACAGGAGTAAACAAGACGGGAAAAGTTCATATTCAAGGCACAAGAAACAGCAAATGTGAACGCCCTAAGTTGGAAACAAACCGATGCCTGTGGTCAGGCGGGAGGAGGAGTGGCTCGAATGCCTGCGCCAGGGCAGAGGTGTGTCCGGTTTATATTTTATTCCATCCAAACATGTTCTCTCCTGCTCTGCTTTTGGTTTCTTCCCATTCGCACTCATGTGTTGACCTCAACTCAGATGGAGACCCTGAGGCTGGGAGGAAGAAGAGAGGAAGAGCAGAGGAAGCCTGATGTGGTACCACTGCCTGTCAGGAAATGAGCATATTATGTTAAAAAGAGAGGGAAGAGGCGAGAGAAACAATCGAGCTCTGTCTCCTGAGTCCCAGAGCTAGCACCAGGCTCTGCTGAAGAAAACACAAACAAAAGCCTTATTTGTTTCCCAAGAGGCACTGCCCACCAAAGCCTCTCCACAGAAAAGAGGTCTGGAAGAAATCTATTCGATTCCTTTTTAGTATACTGAGTATGTGTGTGTGTCAGCGCACAATCCAAGTGGGAGGCCTTGGGGAGTATTTTTAGCTGTTTTTTACATAGTTTTCAAATTACAGGGCTTTTGCATCTACTCCTTCAGGATTCCTGTTTCACCCTTCATGCCCTGAGACTGAAGTTCTGATGGTTCCTACATGCTATCATTCCTCTTTGCTACTCGGGCTCTCCCTGTTCTGGCTTCCTCTTTCAGATTCTTTGTTTTTGTCCTCAACGTCACTTTCATCAGACAGATTTTTTTAGATCTGTCCCAGGGTGACATCAGTTGGGCTTGTTTTAAACTTGCATAGAGGTTTTTGTGCACAGAAAACAATACATACAGTAGCCTGTGTTATCACTGACATTCAGTCTACTATAGTTATAAATGGAAAACCTTGCCTTTCTTAAGCTTTCAAACATACTTTTGAAAAATCTAGTATTAATTTATAA